CCAGGCACACTGTCTCCATTTAGTAGATAAGAGGAATTCGAAGCAGGGCTGCCATTTGAACGACGAAGTGACTGTTTGCATTTCACAGGGCACAAAATCCCATAAAACTGCTGGATTATGTTGAAACTATGACCTTTGTATGCCATGCCAACTCAACCAAAAATTTTCTTAAGATACAGCAAACTTATGAACATCATGATTGTTGTGTAAGTTGTCTATAGTCAGATTGCAGATATGATATAATTACTGTGTGACAGTAGTCACAGAATAAATTCAATGTAAATTCATCATAGAATTTTGAGAATTTATGAAAATTTTATGGTAACATTCTAACATAAAAATCCGACAAAAAAAAATATTCTGATATGTTAACATAAATTCTCAGAAAGCCATGACCATTTTACATTGTATTTATTGTGTGACTTACTGTCATATATGCAATCAGACTATAGACCACTTACACACACAATCTTGAGCTTCATAAATTTGCTGTAATTTAAGAATTTTTTTAGTTGAGTTGGCATGGCATACAAAGGTCATAGTTTCAACATAATCCAGCAGTTTTATGGGATCTTGCGCCCTGTGTTTTATTCTGTTGTTACATATCTGCGTTTTTTTAAAATTCTATTGCCTTGAGAATGACAAGATTCAAAAAGATTCAACCCTTCGAGCAAATCCACGGATTGCCTTGTTATAACCCGTGGCACCTGGTAGTAAACTGTCATGAACTCCCTTTAGTCGTGATTTCCTTATTTCCTTTTCTTTATTCTAACCATTTCTTATTGCGAATAGTCGCTCAAACCCCTATTCACGACTATTCACAGATTGTTGATCACTCATTACTATATTTACTGTTCTACCGTGATCACGACAGGTCTTATGCGGTGGCGATCACGTCTCGTGCAGTGGCCAATAGCTAAAGCACCTCTTTGACAGTTAGATCGATTGTACTCCTTATCTTACAGTATATAAACAGTAGTGTATATTGTAGATTCCTTACTCTAGTCTGGTTAATAACCCAGAGACTTATTCTCGCAATTCTCAAACCTCTCTCGTTGACGACTTACTCGTGACTCGCGGAATCTAGGTCTTGACATAAACTCATAACATGTGTAGTTGGTATGTTTGAGTCTCACTGTCTCAGACATCTATTGCCAGTGCTTAGACATACTTATGCCTGGGTTAGAACACCAGATAAATGAGTGACTAGATCTAGTCTTGTAGTTTTGTGTTAGCACAGGCACTGCCAGAAATTTATGACATAATCACAGCAGTTCCCATGTACCTGACCCCGACGTGTCAGCACGTTTTTCATCTTTGACTTACCATGTTCTGGTTTCATTAAGCTCTAAGCTCCGTGTTCTCAACAATACATGCCTGCAAATCTTTGAATACATCAAATATCAAAGTTTCCGTGATAACCCAATGTCGAAAAGGCCTATCTGGACGGACGCTGTTGGAATTGCAACTCTCAACTCATTTGTATCTCAACGACGAAAAAGCAGGTGGTTGAGGAATCATTGGATTATTTTCGAAGTTTGCTTCGAAAGGAGAGATACAGGACTTGCAAGCGGTGAATCAAGAGTGAATAGAGTTGATGGAGATTCGTTTATGAGAGTATTAGGTGAATCCAGCTATTGAGTTTTGATAGGGTTCGTGAGTATCTAGTTTGACTGTCTAGGTGCGAGGAAGGGTCTGCATGATGATATGGAGGGTCCAGAGTCATGAGAGGAGACATAGTAGAGGTTCTGGTATCAATAGGGAGTAACGTTAGAAGGTCTGGATGTGATTGAGGCCTATAGTTTACTGCATATTGCAGGCAAAGTACTAAATATCGGCATTAATGAGATATATTCGACATGGTTTTTTGCGTTTTGATGTGTCATCTTCCATTCTTGAGTGCTTGAAGGGATCTTGATGCCTCTGAACAATAGCAAGACAGCTGCACATTGTGTAGAATTAATGGATGATAACGGGAGTAAGGACAGGGGCCGTGTGAACTTGACAGATTATGTCAGAAATTCCTGGCAGTGCCTGCACCTATTGTATTCCACCAGACTACATATACACACACGAAGAGTGTCAAGTGTATATCGTCAGTCTGGTTTCACAAGACTAGACTAGATCTAATACTTCAATAGAGAAAAGCAGTCTTGACCCGGCCTGGACCGACCCTGAGGTCCAGGTCCAGTGGCTGTGTAATGCCCGACCCGGACCTGGAAGGCCGGGTCAAGGGTCAGGGCTTCAAGATTTCTAGTGGACCAGGTCCGAACCATGTTGGACCTGGTCGGCCCTCTGTTGGTATACTGTACCATTTCAGTCAGAAGGTGTGACTGTGACCACCCAAATGAAATGAAATTTGGTCAATCACAGAAGATTTTTGCTGGAAGTACCAAAAAATTTCCTCTTTTGGAGGTAAATTTCACAGCTGGGTCATTTTGTCAAGTGGCTGTCACAAACAGGGAGGCTTGGATGTTCAAAAATGCATCATTTCACCCTTCCCCAGTCTCTTTCATTGCAAATAGTAAGACAGAATAATGCTATGTATGATTTTTTTTGACATCTTCCTACTTAAAATTTTTTTTCTCTGTTCTGTTGGGGTCCGAGGCCGGACCAGGTCTGACCCCGGACCGGCCCTCTTGGGCCAGGTCCTACTGGTCCAGGGCCAGGGGCCAGCTGAGAGGTGGACCGAACCTCCAGGTCCGGGTCAAGGGCCAAAAAATTTTGCTCAGACCTGGCCCAGACCGGACATTGGCAAGGCTGGAGAAAAGCACGATTGTACTCACGAGTCACTCATGCTCAAACTTGCAAGTATAGTCATCCAGAACACCTGTACTTGCATTTGCACAAACTCGTGGGACAATAAACTCGTCACTCGTGAGTAGAAACTCACGAGTCCACGAGTTTTTTGGTTTTACGAGTACTCATGAATACTCCCAAGTTACTTGTGAGTATATTACAGAAAGTATATTACAACAATGCTCAATTTATTACATGACATTTAATATTCCATCAATGATCCAATTGAGTGAGAGCTGCTAGTCAATTACTGACCCTACTGACTCTGGAATCTCTTTTTAGTCAAGAGCTGGTTCATTTTGCAATCTACTTAAATAAGATCAGTAAGTAAGCTGAATCTCTTTTGAGAGATTCCATGTTGGCATCTGTGTTACTCCTGGGTACACAAATAAGATGCCAGTAAGATAATAGATTTTGCAGTCATTAGATTGATAGTTGAGTGATGTTTTAAATTATAGGCCACCTACATGTACTTCTATACTAATATACAGGAATCTAATTTATGTTCAACTGCTAATTTACAGTCTATAATGTTACATGAAAATGAATCAGTGAATTTCAAAAAAGGAAAGTCAGAAAGTACTTTACTCACTACCATCAGCACCCTTAAGTGTTTCCTGACTGACTGCCAATGCTTGAACATTGGGATCCCAACTGGTAGATCCATAAACATTGTTTATAGGAACAAAACAAGCCTGAAAACAACAGTAGTCACTGGTGGTAGATCAGAGTCTCTTGTCTCACATCTAGTGACAGGTGTATATTTATATAGTACTTTACCTTTATTGCCTGTATCTGTAGTGAAACTCCACTGAATATCCACGAGTACTTGTGCGAGTTTTCATCTGTTCCTAAGGCCAAACTCGTACTCGTGTGGAAATACTCAGATAAATCTGTGGCACTCACAAGCACGAGTTTCCCACGAGTTTCCCACGGGTGTACTCACAAGCATTCACAAGTTTTGCCCATTCGTGCTACACTCTATACTTCAATTAAAACCATAGGATTTAAGCACTCCTGGGCCTTCAAACACCATCCCTCATTTGAACAATGCTTTTTATTGTTCAACCACTTGGGTGGGCCAGAGACTATATATTACCACTTTTACATGTCCTAAGATGGGTCTGATATAGGTAGAATCCCAGTTCCTTGGTAATCTAATTTGACACAAGGTGTTTTAGTGAAATTCACAAAAATTGTCAAAACAAAATAGATCCCAGGAGTGGCCAATATGGACTCATTGAGATGTTGAGCCTTTCGAGAGATCTGTAGGCATGCCATTGTTGCTAGTTTGTGTCATTCCTCGTGAGGCTACATGTTATTTATTCAATTTGGGGGAAATTTCCCATCAGGTGGTCATATCTGACAAGCACAGAACTATACATTCTGGCCTACAAACACTGTCCATTCTTCCTCTCTGAGCTGAAGAAGGATGGCCGGAATAGTGTTTTTCATAGTTTTGAACTCCCTGTGATTCACAGTGCCAGTGGATATCAATTATGTACTGTTTAAATAAGTGGTGTTGACTTCCCATGGGATCTCAAACTATCTGTTCATAATTTGTCAATTCAAAATGAAAGATCCTGTCATTTTGTACAAAACCCTTTTTGAAATCTGGCTTTCATTAGTCTCCTGTAAGCGGACTGTCAAATACATGATGATCCGTATGCTTTCATTTAGATTACACGGGTCCGCAACACTTTAAAAATGACTGGTTGATTTCAAAATTTTGTGTTCAAAGGAGTGCTCACAATGTGTATCTAACAACTCCCTGGTAGTATATCGGTTTAGTACACGCCCCTGTCACCAGCATCTTGGAATCTTCCTCAGTGCCGCGCGAAAGCTGGGTTCGACTCCCAGCCAGGGAGATGTCTTTGAATGATACAGTACTTTTGGGCAATTTTTAGATCTCTTTTCGCTTATGAGACCGGTAAAGAGACTTTCAAGCAAAGTTTACAAACAATACACAAATGACCTCTTTCTTCTTTCATTCTGTTTTTGCAAGCTGAAATAAGTATACGACCAGTTGTCTTTTTTTTGGTTTCGTTTTATCTATTTGTTTATTTTTCATTTCCTTTTCAAAAAAACGAAAATTTTTGTATGCTTGATGGGTGTATGTACGTGTCTTTGGGAAATCCCCACCGAGAACTTGAGGTGGAACAGGAGATTATGGGGCCAGGGTAAGTATGATGCGAGTTAGATGAGTCTAGCTAGCTACAGAGGGAAATCCCAAACAAAGATGTAGGGCTGGGTTCTACGAATAAAGATGCAAAGGGAGTGGATGAGAAGCAAGTAGGAGGATAAAGAAAGAGGGGAAGTTGATTTGGTTGTCAGAGATTTCGAGGAGCCTTTGACGAGGGTTTTTTTGAAAGGATGTAAGGGAGCTGTTTGGTACTAGTAAGTAAGAGTGCAAGAGGGATCTTGAATGTAGGGGTTGGTTTTGTCTGTTCCCGGCACGACGAACAATACTTATAGTAAGGAAGGGAGGGGGAGGTGTAGTACATATCTCTGTTTCTCTCTTGCCTCTCGAGAACGATAAGGCTCGAAAAGATTCAACCTTTGAACGAATCCATGGACTGCCTTGTCACAGACCGTGGCACTTACTTGATAGTAAATTACGAGGCCGACCGAAGGAAGTATTTCGTCCTTACTCAAGTTGTATAGTGATCGAGTTTATGATCGAGTTTAGACCCATTTGGCATATCGTTGATCTTATCACTGTCGGAGGTATAATTATTTTTTAGGGATATCATCGGCCTCATACATGGCCGCGCGAAACGACGGCCCTCTTTCCTTCATTCTTAAGCCAGTAAACTCATAATACACAAAAAAACTGTGTATGTCTGAGTCTCAAACGTTTATTGCCAAAGGCTTGATATCTATAATTGGGGGGTTAGAACACCCGGATAAGGGAAAGACAGAAGACAAACTAACAACTCCCTGGTAGTATATCGGTTTAGTACACGCGCCTGTCACGAGACCTCTGAATCCTGATCGTGGTTATACCGCGCGAAAGCTGGGTTCGACTCCCAGCCAGGGAGATTTTAGGATTAGATACCGTTTTTGGACAATTTTTAGATCTCTTAAGTACTTATGGGACCCCTAACGAGCAAAGTTTGCAAGCAATACACAAAATAGCTTGCTCTCGTCTCTCTTCATGTCTTCATGCACTGTGTTTTGAAAGCTGAAATATAAGATACACACAAAACGGGTCATGTTTTTGTGGTTTCATTTCGTTTATTTCCATTTCGTTTTCAAAAAAGATTTTCGTACGCGACTAAATGCGTGTAATTGTACGTGTCTTTGGAAAAAGAATCCCGCACCGAAAACTCGCGGTGGGGAACAAGGTGTATAGGTATGTATGTATGTATACGCGTAAACGCGTGTGTGTGACGTGTTGTAGATGAGTCT